TCAGTTTTTCAAAGGAGATTACCTTTCTATCAAATAAATTAAAAAATTCTTTTTTCTTCAAAATTTAAAGGATACTATAACATGCCGATCTGATGGATTCCGCTGACGTGTTCTTTCTAGTTGAGTTAACTGCTTAGCTTCTCGATTCTTTGCTGTTAGAGTTGCTTTGAGATCCTCCTGTAGACATATTTACTTTCTGGTAAGTTACTGCTTTATTTACCCATTAACTCGGAGCTACAATAATAGGAAAAAGTCCCTTGCTTAATATGAATACTTTTACTAAAAGAATTCAGACTTGCACACTTTGCACATGTATAGGTTTACAAGGCTCTTCTTCACTTTACAAAAATAATGCTATTTCCATAATACTTTAAGAATCTTGATATCATCATACATGACAACTCTGCCCTGTCTTAGAAGATGGCTTAATGAATTGTTATGCTTACAAAGTGATTACACCTGGATACTAACTCTCTGGTGGTGGCCCTTTGTATCCTTAGCTCTGCTGCTGTAATGAAGTTAGAATTCTGGTTTTGCCACCTATGTGACCTCAGAAGTCACTTAACACTTCCTAGTTTTCAGTTACCTCCCTAGTAAAACATGAGGGTTGGAATAGATTCCATCTCTAAGATCCCATAGACTTCAGACAAAAGGCACAAAATCCACTGCTGAGGCCAAGCAAAGCCTTTTCAAGTTGGTAGGACCTGCCAGAACCTGTGCTCCACTGGGACTGCCTTCAAGAACATGGAGTCACCTCACTACAGCAAGTAGGGCTTTAGTGGAAGAAGATGCAACTATACAGTTAAGAATAATTTTACTCTCTCTATTTTTATGACTAACTTGTACATAAAAGGTCTTCCAAAAATCTAAGTGCAGTTTTAATAGCTTTAATTACTTAAAACTGTACTAAGACTTTTGGAATACCCTGCATAGAATATAAGTAAAATTAGAATGTCTTACATTTGTATAGTTTTATAATTTTGAAAATATTTTTCAAAAACAACCTTTTCATCTAATTCCATTTAGTTACAGGCAATCATCTTCCAAAATCTATAAAAACAGATAACTTGACCCCTCACTCCACTTTTTATATATGAACTTTTTATAAAATGACCACTGGCACATGTACATGAATAACCCTTGCCAGATCAGCTAGTAACAGAGGGTAGAAATCCATGCACTTACCCGTTTCATTTTCACAATAGTTCCATAAGTTTTCAAAGGTTCAACTACTTTGGCTTCAAGTCTTTCAACCTATCGGCAAAGATTACAAAGTATAACTGAAACAAAATATAGGAATAAAATACTTTCAAAATTAAATCTAGTGCTAATTTTATCCGAGTACAATCACTACATAAGTCAGTTTTTTTAAAAAAAGAATCAATCTGATTTTTTACCATAATGTTTTTTCTAGATAAATTTTAAGGGCAATTACCAGAAATATTTTTAAATCTTATAAATTATATGTACAATTCAAATAAATTCACTGGCCTCCAAAACACTCCATTCTCTGGGATCTGGGCATTTTCTTTAGCTGTTTGTTCTCCATACGTGGAATGCTGTCTCTCTACATCTTTGTTTCTTGACTTTTCTAGCCTCCTTAAAGTCTCAGCTAAAATCCCACCTTCATAAGAAGTCTTTCAATAATAGTACCTTTCCTCTATTGATTACATCCAATTTATCCTGTATATAGCTTATTTGTATATATTTGTTTTCAAGCTGTCTCCATCATTAGATTGTGCGCTTTTTAAGGGCTAGGACTATCTTTTACCTTTCTTTGTATCTGCATAACTTAGTACAGTCCCTAGCACACAGCAGGGGCTTAAAAAAATGTTTACTGGTTGACATCTCAAATAAGATAATAAATGCATCAATCAACAAGCCATTATTTAGTGCTTACTATGTGTCAGGCCATGTGCTTAGTGAGAGAGATAAAAGAAAAAGCAAAAGAAAGGTCCCTGCCCTCAAGAAATTTACATAGTATTGGTGGAGGCAACATCTATAAACCAGAACATACAGAAGGAAGGAAGGAAACCTTAGGTGCCACTTGCTGTTCTGACTCTTTGTGACCCCATTTGGCGTTTTCTTGGAAAAGATACTAGAGTAGTTTGCCATTTCCTTCTCCAGCTCATTTTCTAGGTAAGGAAACTGAGGCAAATGTGGCTAAGTGTCTTGCCCACACAGCTAGTAAGTGTCTGAATCCAGATTTGAATTCAGGTCTTTGTAACTCCAGGCTCAGTGCTCGATTCACTGGACTTATGTGCTACTTGAGCTGAGTCTTAAATGACACCAGGAATTCTATGAATTGGGAAGTTGTGGGGAAAACATTCCAGGCACAGGGACCAGCCAATACAAAGGCAAAGGGATGGGATTTGAGGAGCCTAAGCAGACCAGTAGTGCTGGATCTTAAGAATTGGAAAGGGATGATAACACCAGGTTGTGAAGCACTTTAAACGCAAAACAAAAGACCCTATATATAATCATGAGAGGTGATATGATCAGACCTATGATTGAAGAAAATCAATTCGGCAGCTGTGCTAATGGTGATGTATTGGAGGAAAGACTTGAAGAAGACAAACTGAAAGGCTACTGCAATTGTTCAAGCAAGGGTTGATTAGTACCTAAATTAGGGTGGTGGTTTTGTGAGTGGAAAGAAAGGGACTATGTGTGAATTGCTGAGCAAGAAATTCCAAGATTTTGAATATAAATTGATAAGTGATCAAGGGAGAGGACTGGAAGAGATTCTGAGGTTGTGAAGCTGGAAAACTGGAAGGATAGCGGAGCAGTTTGCGTAAAGGCATGGAGTTAGAAGACAGAATGTTGTGTGCGGGGAATGAAAGAAGGCCAATGTCGCTGGAAAAAAATGTGCAAAATGAAGTCATGTATAGAAGCATTTATAAGAAGACAGTAATTTGTGTAAGTATAACTCATCACCTGAATACAAACTCTGAGAAGTCATGCCCTGCACAGGCACTTAAACGTTTGAATGATAATAGATCATGAAAAGAAGGCATCTACAAATGAAAAATGTACTCTAGTGAAGACAACACCATCTGGGGATCACAATTCTGAGTGACAAATTAACACTGCCTTCCTCTAAATACCTTTACAATAGTATAAATATAAATGAAATAATTCAAGTAAAAGCTCTTTGCATTGTTACAAAGAAAAAAATACTATCAAAATAATCAATATATTACTACAAAGTCTACTGATACCCATGACATAAAATGAGATACCCCAACCTTTTTCAGGTTGGCACCTATCTATAAATTTGCTGGGGCAAGGGTAGGCAGGGGAGAGATTAGAAGAGACAGCAAGGGGAATGGCCTCTCTTAGTCAGTCATATACATCCTTTATTCCCCATCAGAGTTGTACACTTACACATATACATCCTCTCTTCTTCAGTCACAGCTAAAAATTTGTGAAAAGAAGTGGGGAAATCTAGGACTTCATGCCATAGCACAGGAATCTAGGATTTACAATTGGCAGGGTTCTATGTAGAACAATCTCCTGAGCCTTAGGACACTTATGAAAAAAATACCATAAGCAACCTGAGGCTCAGAAGACAAGTGACTTGCCTAAGGTACCAGACCAGTCTCACTCCACTTTGCCACCTGCAGCCTTGACCGGTTTCAACGGAACAAGATGCTCCTCCCAGGACAAGGTTATCACTTTACTCTCATCACCTTGCTGCTAACTCAAACCTCTTCTCCCCTCTGATTGGAGGGCTGAAGGGTGGAGTATTCCTCCCCAAACCTTCCTTTATAGAGAACTGAAACTGGACTCCACTTTGCATTTGCCGTTTTTCCTGGTTTCAATTCCAAGGAACAGGATACTTTCTCCTATTATGTTCCCCAAGCTTCCTTAGCACAGAGCCTGGTACTACACAGTACGCGCTTAATAAATGTTTATCGAACCTAATTTATTGTAAAAACCAGGCTCTTTCTACTTCACCCAACTGTCATTATACAATGTTGCTACCCTAAATATTTTTTGTTATCATCAATGTAATAATAGTAATAATAAAGAAGTCCAACCTCTCTCGCCCATTACAGGGCAGGCACAAATCACAGCGAGGTTCTCCGCTGCCTTCCTACCTCCGCTTGCCTGTAGTCCTGAAGTTTGGCAAACTCATCAGCAAAGTTCTTCAGACCGTGCTTCAGGTTGGGCGTCTCGGTGGCGGCGTAGGCGTTGATTTCATTCACCAGGAGGTCGGCTTTGTCCCGCAGCCGGGCCGTCTTGCGCACGTAGGCCGCAAAGATTTGGCACAGCTCCCCGAAGTGCTTCTCCACGTTGGAAACCGCATCCTGCAGCTGTCTGGTCTGGGCGTCCCTGGAGAGGGCGGCGACACGCGTGCACGCACGAGGCCTAGCCGGTGCCCCTCCTTCTGCCCTCACCCCCAAAATAAGGTGACTCTCCTTTCCCTCCCGGCTGGAGCCCTCCCTTAGGCCTCAGGACCCCCCGCAGGGCCTGGAGAAGGCCCGCCGACTAGAGCCTGGCGGGGCCGGGATCTCCGAGTGGGCCTACAAGGACCCTTTCCGGGGAAGGAAGGGAGGGAGGGAGGAAGACAAGAGGGGAAGCAAGGAAGGAGAGAGAGAGAAGCGGAGGGAAGAGAGGAGGGATCTACCGGGCCTCCCCTCCACGACCTCCCTCCCACCCCCAGCCCGTTCCCCAGCCCAGGCAGGGTCTCCCTCGGCTCCCGGGGGGATTGTTACCGGCTTTCCAGGCTCCGCCTCAGCATGTCGCCTCACGAGCTGCCCGGGACCTCGGGATGGAGCCCTTAACGGGCCCTGCGGTGGAACCGCCGCGGCAAGCGCCGGGACGGGAGCCCGCGTGCCCGCCGGCGCGGAAGGGAAGGAGGGAGAGAGGGCGGGAGCGAGCCCGACCCCCTTCCAGCGCGCGCGCGCGCCCTCGAGGAGCAGGCCCCTCCGCCCGCTCTGTTTCTATGGAGACCGATCCAAACTGCTTGGGAGGAGGGGGAAGGGGGAAAGCAGGGGAGGCCGGGTAAGGAGATCCTGCAGGATGGGGCTCCTCCTGGGCTCCTCTGACTAAGTGAGCCCGGGAGTGGTGGAGGCGAGAGCACTAGGGAAGGAGAGGAAGAGGATGATGGCTGAAAGGAGCTAGGAGAGACGTGAAAGGTTATCCTAGGTTTAACCTCTCTAGTGACAAATGGGAAAATGAGGAGGCCCGATTAAGTTGGTTTGCCAAGTTTACCCCAGGAGTTAAGTGGAAGGCAGGCGCACCCTGGTCAATGTGAAATTGTACACAGGACGTGCTTTAAAGGTGAATCTGCGTCATTAACATTTTCTCCATTACAAGCCCTGGTGTGTGGGGTTGGCTAGAGATAGGGATCCCACCCAGCCCCTATAAGAGGTACCCTTAGGGGATGGTCTTCAGAAGTTGTGGTGGTTCTGCAACCCCCCCCCCCCCCCCCCCCCCCCCCCCCCCGCCACACACACACCATGCAATCCCAGGTTGCCGACTCTCCAAGCTCAGCTTTTCCAGACAAGTTTCAAGACTTTCCAGCCTTGTAGTAACTGTCAAAACTTACACTTTATTGACAGAGTCTTAGAGCAGAGGTGTCAAACTCAGGCATTTGCAAAGGCCCAGAACTAGATTAAAATGCGTTTGGGAAGTGTGGTAAAATAAAGATGCCATACAACATAATGTTAATTTGTGATTTTCTAAGTCAATGTAAGCCCTGTAGGGATCTCTTTCTATTTAAGTAACACTACTCTCTTAGAGAACTGTTGTTACCTCCTGGTAACTATATTGGTAACTATATAACTCCTGGGACTATATTGAAATAAGATTAGTGCAGGTTTTATACCTGAACATACTTTGAATGTCTGAAAACTTTTTTTTTTTCTGTAGCATAGATGGATTTACTTTGTGAAGGGTCTAATATCTTGTGTCTCCAGTTGGACACTAAAATGTATGGAACACCATCTTCAAGTCTTGTTTGGGGGCACATAAATGATTATATTACTGCTTGATTAGTACTCACTGCTTCCGAGAGTTTATTAAATATGACAAAAAAACAGAGAGAGGGATTTCTTTCTTTATTATTCCTAAGTGCAGTGACTTTAAATCTAGATCTCAACTTGTTTCTCCAGTTTTATAAACTTAAAACCACATAAAACAATTTATACAGTGACTATTTAGTAATAGAATCAGGGTTTCTGTACTGAGGTGTGGGTCTCATGCTTATGAGATGGGTTAGCAGGCAGATAGAAGGGCACTGGAAAAGGATGGGTAGTTACGCATTGACTCCTTTTGTTTTGATTCAAGTTATACCACAGCACACTAAGGTCTAGCAAGTTTACATTGTTTTATAGTTAGGAGAACAAAATGAACCAGAGCTTCTTATGAATGAACAAAACTATCCCAAGCCACTTTTAAATACACAGCTCTTGATTTAAGTTGGTAAGGATGAACATTAGAGTTGGTAAAAAAGTTTTGGTACTCAGTGTTTCACTTAGGGATTCATCATTCATTTTAGCCTGGTCTTTCTACACATCTGTCATTCCTGTTGGAGGGCTGGGGCCTAGTCTATAACCTGACTGTTATTTGGATTCATACTGTTGAGGTCAGATTTGGGAGAACAGTTCAGGTATGAAAGAATTCACTTAGATGACTTTCTCTTAGCCAATGGGAACTTTATTACATGAAAGCTACACACATACCCTTTTATTGTAGCCATGGGGCTGAGTGAAAAAAAGGTACTGATATTTGGAGAACAGGCTTATATAGAAAGAAAGCTTGTAGATGTTCAGGATGATGATGTAGTTTTAGGGTTTTATAGTGGTTGAAGATTAAGAAAGAATTTTATGACACAGGATGAGGGAGATGGTTGCTTATAAGGAGGAATTTTATGATACAGGATGAGGAAGATGGCTGACAGAATAGGAAAGACAGAAGGACGTGGGATAAGGAAGGAAAAAAAGCAATTCTTTTGGTCTTAGAAGATAAGGAGAAGTTTTGTGGTATTTCAAGATAAGGGGAAAAAAACTTTAGGATGCCCTCAAGTTACAGGATCTCCAAAATACTGGAAAAGCAACCTTTAATATTCTTTTTAACCCTTAGGGCGCCACTTGTATCCACATCAATACTACAAAGTACAGGAAGGGGAAAATGTGACTAAATAACATTTTGGGATAAAAATACCTGGAGATTTTAATGGACTGAAAGCCCAGTATTAATTATGGCAACAATTTTTTTTACTCCAAAGCTAATATAGGGAACTCCTGGTAAAGAAACTTTCTCCACTAATGCCAGTAGACAGATTATCATCTTAGAGAGTTCTACAGCTTTGAGATGATTTGAGAGCATTATGAGGTTAAGTGACTTGCAACAATGACCGAGTTAAATAGTGAGAATGTGTCACAGTTGGTGTTCTCTTCAGCAAGACTGACAACTCCTGGCTTAGGATGGTCAGAAGTCTCTCCCTTTTGAAAACCACGATAAAATAATTATAGCAACAACAACAACAACATTTGTATATAGTACTATGAGACAATACATTTCAAGAAGCTTACATTCTAATAGTGGAAATGGAACACATATAAGGGAGTACTGTCCAGGAAAGAAACTTTTAATCAAGGTAATAACAGGGATTATGAATGAAGCTATGAAAATGGTGTCATATTGTTGTGCCCTTTTCCAGTAATAATGGTGATATTTTTATTCCCAGGTCAACAGCAAGAAGTAGAGAAAGTTTAAGTGAAGGGGGGGTGAGGAACGGATTCCACTTGTAGCTCCAGGGCAGATGGCAAGATACCTATCCTGAGTAGGCCTTAAAGTAACTTGCTTTTACTTTTCACTCACTCACCAAACAGAGCACTTCTGCCCTAGGAGGAATCCCAAAGCTGAGTGGATTGGAGGTGAAGAGGTGGGGAAATGGAGGGCTTTCAAGCAGGTGCCAAAGGGCCTAAATCTCTAGACTTTCTGTTTGGTAGGGAGAAGGGGGCAGCAACAGGGTAGACCATCATTATGTAATAAACCTGCCACTGGTGTGGATTTCTAGATCCTATTAGTATATAATCAATCAGTCAATCAATAATTAAGTAACTACTATGTGCCAGGCACTGTGCTAAGCACTGGATATGGTATAATACTATGTCCTGTTGAGACTTAGCAAAACTGAGGTCACACTGGGAAGAAGTCCACACACTGAAATATAACAGGGAAACCATTTTCATGTGTAAGGAATATTAGGAATGGGCTGATACTTGAATAACTCAAATGAATATGAATAGGCCGGTGAGATAATGAACTTGTACTTCAGTACCTTTGTTCACAGATGCTCATTTGAATAAAACCTAAATAGGAATCTGGGAAGTATAACTGGCTGGTCACCCTAAGTAAGAAAAGAACAACTACCTTACTAAGGCAGTCTACTTTGCATAAGGAAGATTTATCAAACAGGGGAGTCTAGACTACTCTCATTTCCTGCCTGAAGAAGAGCTTCAGTTCTGGGCAGATAGATGGTGCAGTGGATAGAGCAATAGACTTGGGATTAAGAAGACCTGCATTCAAATCTAGCCTTAGACACTTACTAGCCATTCCAATGTGGGCAAATCACTTAGCCTCTGTTTACTGTGTTTGTACATAGCAATCACTTAATAAATGCATTTTGATTGTTTCATTGAATGGGCTTGCATTTACTACAGATCCAAGAAGAATGTGCTTTTATTATTCTTTATTTCACTTGGCACCACTCTGGACACTTCTTGGTCTATAGACTTCCTCAAAGAATACTCTAGTACAATTGCTACTGTAGAACAGGGATCACATATTAATAAACACTTAGGGCTGCCTGACTACTATTCCAAACCCATATTCATAGGGGCAGGTTGGGTCCCCCAAGGGTAATTACTTTACTCCTCAGGATTCTAGGGTAATCCTTGAGGGGTTAGTGTTCTTTTCTATTATTATAACTCCCGAGCCCCTACCACTATGCTAGCCCAATAATAATTAATTGATGTCAATTAGCCTGCCAGACTTAATTAGCTTTTAGAAATGTTTTATAACAACTATTCTTACTAATAAGGTGGTATAGTAAGAACAGTTGGTACAAAAATTTTCCCCCAAAAGTTTGGGAGATACTTTCCCACAAATACGTATAGAGTATAGAGTGAATGGGCTCAAACTTAGAGCTCATGATGTGGCAAAGGTGATCATCATAGCATTTGGAAGTCCTTTTGCTAGAATTCCTTTTCTTCCCTTCATGGAACCCTTACAATGTTTTCATTAGGTCTGATGTAGTTTTCTGCTGGACTCTTTGTAGATTCGGTATTCCTTATTTGTCTTTGCCTCTTGATGCAGACATTGCTACCAGATGTACAGAGGATACTGCTAGGATGCTGATGAGAAACCAAATTCAGCTGACCCTTCAAAGAAGGGCTAAAAGGGTTGAAGTATGCACTAACGGAGAAAATACTCAAGCATCAGTTCACAGATACTTTTAAGAAGTATTGAAATACTTTAGGTAAGCATTTCTTTCCAACTACATATTTCTAAATGTAATTTCTACTTTCTCATTTAGACCATTAGGAACTAAGGTTTTCGAGTCAAAATACAGTGTTAGCAAATCTATTCCATCTTCCACTGATTTATTATTCTTTTAGTTATGCCAATAACTCTTGAGATGATCTAATTTAATTGAGTCTCATGCCATTCTTCCTGTTTACTCTTTCATTCTACTGGTTTTATTGCTGTTTTTCAAGGCAAACTTCTTTCAGTCTCCTCTGAATGTTTTGCAAATGAATTTCTATTTATCAGGGCAGTTAGGTGCAGTGGATAGGATGCCAGGCATGAAGTTAGGAAGACTCATCTTCCTGGGTTCAAATATGGCCTCGGACACTTACTAGCTGTGTGACCCTGGGCAAGTCACTTAAGCATTTTTACATCAGCTTCCTCATCTGTAAAATGAGCTAGAGAAGGATATGGCAAACTACTCTAGTATCTTTGCCAAAAAAAAATCCCAAATGGGGTCACAAAGAGTTGGACAAGACTGAACAGCAATCGTATTTGCAGAATTCATTAGGGTTTGTAAAGTCATCGAAAAGACTTTGAGTATGACTTCAGGGATGGTTTATTATTTGTCTGTTGTGATAGGACCAGCCTAGTGGCTAAATTCATAGAAACTTAGAAGCAGAATATTGGTCACTAAAATATTCGTTTTCTTCATTTACAGCAACTTAGGACAGTATAAGTTTGTGATCTCAGCTGGTTGAGGGAAAGCCCATACTGATGAAACACAGATCCTTGAAATATTAAAGTATATTTTAAAAAAATTATATTACTTTATAGTCATATCCTATATATTGCTAAGAAGACCTCAACCTATGAATGTTTCTGTCAGTTATCTACAGTTAAAGGAAAAAAAGATCATGAACATATCAGAATGATTTGTGCTGAGGATAAAAATACATGCATATGAAAGAAAGGGTGAACTTTAAAAGGTTTGCCTATGTCTTGTTTTGCATTCATTCAAAACCAGTGCAAATTGACAATACTTACAGAGTATGCATCTCTTTAGCCAACAGGTTTGATTGGTTGTCTTGACAATATTGGATCCTTGGGCTCCCTCTGGTGGTAAAATTAAGTACTCGAACTTCTCCCAACCACACAGGTAGGTAAGTGAATCTGGTCCTGCTGTGTTAGGGTCCTAGGGAAAATGACCAATTTTCAAGTGGAAAGATATGTAATTTTCTTTGTCCTTGGCATGACTTTCAATATTCCTTATTTGTGATTTTTTAAAAAATTGATAGAGCTACTTCATAATTTTGGCTTTGGATCACAGGACCAGTCACTTTATATTAATACTCTATAAATGTCCTATAAATATTAAGCATTTGAAAGTTTTAATTTTTACTGTTATATTTAGAGGACAATTATTTGTCCTGTATTACTGTTTCTCTATACCTATGAGAGAAGATTTGGCTCTGATACAGATATCAGATTCAACTTTTAGTTTTTTCAGCAATAATTACAGCTTAAAATTATTATTATTAGTAATACTATAGGTAATGATAGAGAGCTAGCCTTAAAACCAAAAAGAATTGCATTCAGGTCTCACCTGTGACACATACTGTCCGTGTTCCTTAATTTCTAAGTGCTCTAGGCAACTCTATAAGACAATGAGTTGCACAGAAGGTGCCAGCTTGTATTAGTCGAGGGAAATTCTTCACCTGGGAATTCTTTATATCAATGTAATCACAGTTCCAGGTCCTACTCCTATTCCAATATTATTAGATGGGACGCGAGCTTACCAAAAATGTGACATCAGAGTAATGTATTCTAACTTTTTTTCTTATATTCTTTATTATAATTGAAAACCACTAAATTAGCAACAGTACAATCAGGGCATGCCAGGTTGGAGTTGAGGAGAAAGAGTAACTACAGCCACTCATAAAAATTCATTTGTTGCAGGCTGGAGATGGGAGAGATAGAAGGCTGGGAGGCTGATTAGAAACCTCTTGCAAGTCTGAGTGAGTGGTAGTGTGGGTCTGAAACAGGGTGGTAGCTATATACATGGGGAGAAGGGGATAGATATAAGAGCTGATATACAGGTAGAGTCCACAGAATTTGCCAAATGATTAAATATTGGAGTGAGGGAGAAGGAAGGTCATACGATGACTTTGAGGTTTTAAACCTAGATAACTAGAAAGGTGATGATGTCTTCAACAGCAAGAGGGAAGTTTAGAGAACTTCTCATTTTAACAATAAAATGTTTTGTATATACTGAAGTTTGGGGTGCCAGAGGGTGTTTCCACTTGGAGATGTCCAATAGGCATTTGGGCAGGTGGGACTAGAATTCAGGAAAGAGATTGGTGCTGGATATAAAAACTGAGAGCCATCTGGGCAAAAGCAGTAAGTGAACTCAAAGACAGAGAGTAAAGCAGGAAAAAAATTAGATATGGAATCAGAAGTAATATGGTAATAATACTATTAAATATGCTATATATGTAAATATATGTATGTAATTTATATAAATATAATGCTATCAAATTCTAGCAGTCATACAACCTAGTTAAGTCACTTAACCTCTCTAGACCTCAGTTTCTTCCCGTAGAAAGTAAAGGACTTGTAGTAGATGACCTCCTGGGTCTCTAACAGCTTTAAATTTAAGTCAGTTTTTCTGGCTTGGATAATGAGCCCAGTCACTTTGTGGTAACACTCTATAAATACCCCATTTTGAGACTTTGATTATTACAGTTATATAGAGAGGGGCTTGGTTTGCCCTATTGCTGACCAGTCAAATATTGTATAATAAGAAGCCATTTTCTACTTCCATCTTATATTTTGAAATTTTTCTTTGCTTTTTATAACATTTTACTGGAAAATTAAAAGTGTTCTCATTCTTTTCTAGTTGACATTTTTATTTGCCTTTTGAATGGAGATATAATTATAATTAAAACTTTTGGGTTAAATAATTTTATTGAACAGTGGCCATAGACTGAAGTGTCCTTGATAATTGTTGGTATGTACAAAGTACAACCTTCTATACTTCTTGACCGCCACGATCATTTGAAAACTGGAAATAGCATTCTAAAAAAAAAAAGAATGTAGTTTATTTTTCTATCCAAAATAAGAGCTTTTTAATATTTATTAGGAAGTGATAGGCCTGGAGGAATTTTTCCATTTACTGAAAATTCTGTAACTCATTATAAATTAATAAATATAAATATGTTGAGATCTAGAAATTGCTAAATTTGATTTCTGTCCTGTTCTGTTGTATCCTGTCCTATTCAGATAGGAATGAAAAGTGAGACAAAAATTAGAAATTATAATAAAAAACTAAACCTTCAAATTGTGAAATCTTCAAAGACTTCTAAAACAAAAATAGAAACCATTGGAGAACTCTTCTGTTTTCTCCAAACAGCTTTGTAGTTGAACTGTGAGCAATTTGTCTGTATAAAGAATATGTCTTCCTATTGCTTTTTAGTTCACAAATTATAAAGATTTTTATATACATGCACACACATATGTATATGTATAGGTATTCATAATTTACATTTTACAAATGAATGAAAATGTTTCTTTGTACTAAGGTTTTTTACAAATGTTAAACAACTCTGGGTGGATAGGTGGTGCATTGGATAGAGCACTGGCACTGGAGTCAGGAGGACCTGAGTTCAAATGCAACCTCAGATACTTATTAGCTGTGTGACTCTGGGTAAGTCACTTAACCCCGATTGCTTCCCTCAATCTTAAACAACTGGTAACAATAAAACTATACATTTTCAAAAAGTAGATGTTTGTCTATATTTCTAATGCAAACTTGACTGTTGCATAATGAAAATTTCTCACCTAGAGAGGTAACATGAGTTGTCTAGTTATAAAATGAATTTTGATTCAAAGAAAAACCATTTTTACATAATGTGAAATTATACAATACATAATACAGTGAGTAGTTCTTCCTGGCTCAATTGTCCCATCTTCTTCAACACAGTAGTGTAGTCATAAGAGACTGGTTTGTCATCCCAAATGCAAGTCCATAAGGAGAGTGAGGAATTTCTGCTTTACCCCAAAGTGCAAGTGCATCAATCTATAAAATGCGTTTTACTCTGAGATGGCTGAATATTTTTATGATAGTTTTCCCAGATTAATCTTTCAGTTACTGAGCTCAATGAGGGTCATTTCCAGGTGTGTGATGAATAAGAACGCTTTAGATGGCGTTCCACATCCTTACACGCGTGGGTTGGAAGGACACCACCTCATGTTCACATGCTTCTTAGACTTTTTTTGTGTGTACTTGACCCGTGATTTTATTTATAGAGAATTCTATTCCTCTCCAGTTTATTTACATTCTTAGAGAATACTGAGGGGAACTGAAAGGTGAAATTATTTGCCCAGGGTCCTATAGCCAAGTGTATGTCACAGGCAGGGCAAGATCAGGGCTTCCTGTCTCAGGATTGCTCTCTATCTACTTCATCATGCTGTGTAGGCTTTAAGGCCTACTCTTAGCTTTGGATAGTAGCATGCTTTTCCCACAAAGGGCCCTGACTTTGGGCTCATATGGGCCCAGTTTCATTCTTGAGGAGGGAGCCTCACCCCTAAAAGAGAGGAGTTAGGCTTTTCTCAGATTCTCAGTACCACCTTACTCTGGAGTTCTAAGGGAAAACTTAGGTATAGTTTATGCTTATGGTATCGCCCAAAGGAATTAACAGGGTTCATTTTAGGGAATGCATTTAATAACAAAGTAGATAATAACAAAAGCTATTTATTTCCTGTATTGCAAAAGAAAGGCTGAAAGCACAAAAGATTCATATGCTTGCATTAACAAATAGCTTCTCTGTGAATGGGCCCACAGCTCGGGGTTAACAATACTCTCATCTATATTATAGATAATATAAATACTAACAGAAAAGAAATAATAAATAATAAAATAAAATAATAAACAAGATAAATTACATTTACCCTGTGATCACAAAGCAGTTCTAACATCCAATATCTTTTTAGCATACTACAGCTTGTCACTTCAAAACTGATCAACTTGTCTTTTAAATGACGCAGAGTAACTGATTCAGTAACTGTAGCTCTTACGATTCCGAGCAGTGCAGATAAACTCAGCACGAAACTCCATATAAAACTCTTGTAGGGCTACTGGTCAAATATTTGGTGTTCACCTTTGCTGTGCACCGTCTGACTCCGGATATCTAGGCAAGCCAGCATTTGACTTTGGCCCATTAGTTGAAGAACTTTCATGGTGGTGATGCTGCTCCTCTGAGAAGTACTGACCTTGCAGGAGTCGCCTCTCAGTAGCAATTAGCACCTGACTCAGAACTTTTAAACTCTTAATATCTTAATTTACCACCAAGGCTATGATTACGGTTCATTCAGATGTTCTCAGGGAAGGAAACATGAAAGCAGCAGAGGCGGCTGTGGACTTTTGAGTCCTGTCTCAGGCTTCCCTAGGTAAGCATGTGCTCTACATATGTGTAGTCACCATATATGTTACTAGGGAAAAACATCCTCTAACTCCTCCTCTCCCTACCCACTTTGCAAGTTCAAGGGAAAGCTTGAAGAGTTCTATATGACATGCTTAAAGAAAAGAGCTTTTTGTTTCTCTTGAGGTCATCTTTTAGCTTATTGAGTGGGCAGCGCTTCCTGGCTCAATTGCCCAACTTCTTCAACATAGTAGCATAGTCATAGGGACCAATAAGAGACTGGTTTGTCTTCCCGAACGCAAGTCCATAAGGATGGTAAGGAAATTCTGTTTTACCCCAAAAGTGCAAGTCCATCATGTTCAGTTAAGAAAAAAATAGGGTATAGAAATAGTGTACAAAGGTTTTCTTTTCTTCCATGTCCTGGAAGATATGTCTTAGAGACCAAAGAGAAAAATTAGGAAGATAATTTCTTTTTTCCCCATTGAAGTAATTGAGCTTAGGTAAAATATAGTTAACATTTATCTACTTTTACCTTATTTTGGAGAGGGATGGGAAAGATGGGTGCATCGATGCATAGCTAATTGAATAGATAACTTCTGACAATCATGAAAATGAGGGACAGGTAAACCACGCACAAAGGAAATCCATAGCAAACCTCTGATGTTCTCATTTGTATCGAACGCTTCTCCCATAAAGCCTTTTATTAGAATTGCTAATAAGTAGCTATGTGAAATGATTTAAAGCTCATTTTCCTTTTACCTCTGCCCATTTTCTGCCTCTGACAGGACCACCACCAAGGAATGAAATAATCGAAATATGACATACTGAGAAAATTTAATTAATCAACAAGAATTTATTAAAAGTGCCTACTACATGGGGCAGCTTTGTGGTACAGTGGATAGAGCACCATCCTTGAAGTCAAGAGGACTGGAGTTCAAATCTGGCCTCAGACCAGACACTTAACACTTACTAGCTGTGTGACCCTGGGCAAGTCACTTAACCCCAATCGCCTAAAATTTAAAGGAAAAAAAAAAGAATCAAAGTGCCTACTATGTGCCAGGCATTAGGAATCCAGACAAAAAATGGAACACTCTTCTATCAAGAACCTTACATCCTATTGCAAGAAACTATGTGTAATTATAAGTAAATATACAAAATAAGTTGGAGAGTGAGACTAGCAACTGAGGGAATTACAGAGAATTCAAAATGTTTCTTTTAGTTTTGAGTTGTTCCTGCTCTGGAAGCTTCCAAAGGACTGTCTCAGTTTGGTTCTGCAGTGAAATTGGCCCTTCTCTAGGGCAATAACTGAGCTTGTGTGACCTGGAGCTGATTTGTGTTTTCTTGAAGGTTATTCACGTCACCTTTATCTTAAGAACATACCAGAAGTGCTTTGGGGGATTCTCAGAACAAATCATCTAAGTAGGACAGATTTGGTGTGTTGCTCTTTTCTGGGACCTTTTCCTCTCTTTTCAGCACCCTGCCCACAAGGTGCTAGGTATTTCCACCCTACCCTCGTCTCTCAGTAGAGGAAGGTGAATACTTATTTTACACTAAATTGTCAAGGACAGCATGATACAATGGAAAAACATTGGGGAAAAAATAGGAAAAAAATCCCAACTCTGACATTTACTGGCTGTGTGACCTTGGCCAAGCCTACGTCTTGGCCAAGTCTGCCTCTTTGAACCTGTGTTTTCTCATATGCAAAATGAGAGAGTTGAACCAGAGGACCTCTATGACCCTTCATAGCTGTTTATTCTAAGCCTTATCTCCCCTAGAAATACATTTGAAAAAGAAGACCCCCCCACCAACACAGAAGAATAAATTACTACTGATAAGATTTGCTGGAAATTTTTTGATAAAAGTAAAGTATTAAATATAATCTTGACTCACTTAAAGATAATTTTATTTCTCAGATAGCAGAGGAAACAATGAAGGAAATTTCCACCTTAGACTTAATCTTAGCCAACAAGGAAGATGGTAAAGTGGAACTGATGAAAGCCTTAGTCACTATCTCATCTTAAAGCTCATAATAGCCAAGGGAAAAAAAAGGGGATTATCTTTAGATAAAGACCCTTTCTTGAGGAAAAACAGATTTCAGAAAGCTCAGAGAAAAGGTGGATACTCTTACTCTGGCCAGCAACTTTAAAAAGGAAAATTGCTCTAAGAGGGATGACAAGGTCTAAAAGTTTTTGTTAGCTGGTATTTATATAACACTTACTATATGTAAAGCATTGTGCTAAACATTTTACAATTATTATCTCATTTTAGCCTCATAACAACCCTGGAAGGTATGTATCATTTTACAGATGAGGAAACTGAGACAAACAGAGGTTAAATGACTTGATGAAGGTCACATAGTAAGAGTCTGAGACTGAATTGGAACTTGGAAAGCTATAAATATGAAGGAATTTAATGGAATGAAATAAGCACTTATTAAACACCTACTATATGCCAGGAACTGTGCAAAGCATTTTGAAAATATTATATAGGGTGAGCAACAGCTAAAGAAACTAACATGGCTACATATAGAACTCTCCAATGGACTTGAATTTTTAAAAGGACATTTGCAAAAGATAAAAGGAGGGATAGGAAAACAAAGTTGATTATGAAAGCTTGGCATAAACTGTTAACGTAAGTGTCATAAGCCTAGGTTCAAAAATCAATTTCACAAATATAGGATTGAAGTGGTATGGTTTGACAGTAGTTTGAAAAAGATCTTGGAGTTTCAGTGGACTGCAAGCTTAACAGAAGTTAGTAGTATGTTGTGGCATCCAACAAAGCATATGTGACCTTGGGTGGGATTAAGAGATACAAAAATAAAGAAGTGATCCTTTGGAGAGCTCAGGGGCAGAGCCAAGATGACAGAGTGAATGCTTGCTTGGGCTTTCCCCCAAACCCCTTCAAATGCCTATAAAAAAATGGATGTGAACAAATTCTAAAGCAGCAGAACCCACAAAAAGACAGAGTGAAACAAATTTCTAGCCCAAGACAGCCTGGATTGTTGATCAGAAAGGTATATCGTGCTGGGCGGATAGAGGAGTGCAGTTTGGCATGGGCTCACAGGCCGCAGTGAACCTGAAGCAGGCCTCAGAAGACTGAATCACAGGCAGCTGTGGCGGTTTCCAGACTTCTCAATCCACAAACAACAAAGACAACTTAGAAGGTCAGTGGGAAAAGTCTGTTTCTGTGGTGAGAGAGAAGCTAGGTCTTAGCCCCAGTTCCTGAGCATGGCCTTCAGGTGGCAGGGATCTCCTGAGCTTCTGGCCCACAGACTGAGGGGGAATCGAGTGGCTGATCACAGGGGGATTGCAGGGATCTCTTTGCCAGTGCTGAGGCAGGAATCTCTTGCTTTGCCCATTATTGGATCTGGGTCACAATTCTGAGGGGCGGTCCTGGGGTGAGAAGGAGTGCTGGAGTGGTGGAGCTTGTAGTGGTAGTAGGGAGAAAATCCTCCTGACAGTTACAAGACAGAAAAGAGGGGTTGTGGTCACTCATAGACCAGAGCACAGGCCAGGAAAGGAGTAAACACCTCACTCCTTGATCATACCACCTTGGAAGAAATGAAAATTTACAGGTCCCTAGAAGTATCTCTGAAAACAGCTGCACAAAACCCCTGAAGCTTGGGACAGTACATTCTTCACATTGGAAACAGCCCTCTATCTTAATAAAGAGTTTATACTCAAGTAATTGGTTGGGATCCTAAGCAAACCTGGCAAGAAGGGTCAGGCCATAGAATCTTTTTTTGGTAACAAAGAAGATCAAAACATACAACCAGAAGAAGACAACAAAGTCAAAGCTCCCACATCCAAAACCTCCAAGAAAAATATGAATCAGTCCCAGGCCTTGGAAGAGCTCAAAAGGGATTTTGAGAAGCAAGTAAGAGAAGTAGAGGAAAAACTGGGATGAGAAATGAGAGTGATGCAAGAAAATCATGAAAAACAAGTCAACAGCTTGCTAAAGGACACCCAAAAAAATACTGAAGAAAATAACCTTAAAAAATAGCCTAACCCAAATGGCAAAAGAGGTCCAAAAAGCCATGAGGAGAAGAATGCCCTAAAAAAAAATTGGCCAAATGGAAAAGGAAGTCCAAAAGCTTACTGAAGAAAATACTTCCTTAAAAATTAGAATAGAGCAATTGGAAGCTAGTGACTTTGTGAGAAATCAAGACATTGTAAAACAATCCAAAAGACTGAAAAATTAGAAAACAATGTGAAATATCTCATTGGAAAAACAACTGACCTGGAAAATAGATCCAGGAGAGAGAATTTAAAAATTATTGGACTATCTGAAAGCCATGATCAAAAAAAGAGCCTAGACATCATCTTTCAAGAAATTATCCAGGAAAACTGCCCTGATATTTTAGAACCAGAGGGCAATATAGAAATTGAAAGAATCTACCGATTTCCTTCTGAAAGAGATCTGCAAAGGAAAAATCCTGGGAATATTGTAGCCAAATTCCAGAGTTCCCAGGTCAGGGAGAAAATATTACAAGCAGCCAGAAAGAAACAATTCAAGTACTGTGGAAGCACAATCAGGATAACACAAGATTTGGCAGCTTCTACATTAAAGGACTGCAGGGCATGGAATATAATATTCCGGAGGGCAAAGGAGATAGGATTACAACCAAGAATCACCCACCCAGCAAAACTGAGTATAATCCTTCAGGGGAAAAAATGGTCATTCAGTGAAATAGAGGACTTTCGAGCATTCTTGATGGAAAGACCAGAGCTGAATAGAAAATTTGACTTTCAAATACAAGACTCAAGTGGAACATGAAGAGGTAAACAGGAAAGAGAAATCATAAGAGACTTATTAAGGTTGAACTGTTTACATTCCTGCATAGAAAGATGATATTTGTAACTCATGAGACCTTTGTCAGTATTCGGGTAGTTGGAGGAAAAAAATTATAGGTATGTATATATGTACGTATGTATATATATCTATATATCTATATATATCTATATATATATGTGGAGAGAGGGGGGGGAGAGAGAGAGAGAGAGAGAGAGAGGAGGGAGAGAGAGAGGAGAGAGAGAGAGAGAGAGAGAGAGAGAGAGAGAGAGAGAGATAAATATAGATAGAGGGCACAGGGTGAGTTGAAGATGAAGGGGTCATATCTGCAGAACAAAATTAAGGGATGATAGAGGATTATGCTGGGAGAAGGAGAAAGGGAGAGGTAAAATGGGGTAAATTATCTCACAAAAAAACAGAAAAGAAAAGGCTCTTACAGTGGAGGGGAAATGGGGAAGGTGAGAGGGAATGAGTGAATCTTATTCTCGTAGGATTTGGCTTAAAGAGGGAATAACATACACACTCAATTGGACATGGAAAGCTGTCTTAGCCTACAGGAAAATAGGGGGAGAAGGGGACGAGAGCAGGGAAATGATAGAGAGGAGGCAGATTGGGAAAGTGGGTAATCAGAAGCAAACACTTCTGAGGAGGGACAGGGACAAAAGAAAGAATAGAATAAATGGGGGTGGGTGGGATAGGATTAAGGAAATCAAGTTAGTTTTTCACAACATGACTACTATGGAAGTGTTTTGCATAACTGCACATGTATAACCTATATTGAGTTGCTTGCCTTTTTCAATGAGGGTGGGTGGGGAGGGAGGAAGGGAGAAAATTTGTAACCCAAAGTTTTAAAAACACATGTTTTTTTAAAAAATGCTTTCACATGCAGCTGGGAAGTAAGAAAAAAAGGAAATGGGGTATAGAGATCTATCCTGCCCTACAGGAAAGTAGAAGGGAAAGGGGATAAGAGAAGGGGGTGAGAGATAGGAGGGAGGGCAGACTAGGGGAAGGGATATTCAGAATGCATGCCATCTTGGGGTGGGGGGAGGGACGAGATGGGATGAAAATTTGAAACTCAAAATCTTGTGGAAGTAAATGTTGAAAAAATAAAGTGATCATTCCCTTGAACTCTGAGCTGGTCAAACTATAGC